TCAAAGTGCCTAGGGTCAATTCCCAGCTCTGGCTCCTACTAGTGCAGACCCTAGGAGGCAGGACTGATTGCCCAAGTGATTTGATTCCTGTTAACCATGTGGGTGATGTGGATTGAGTTCCCAAGGATTAGTCCTGGCCATTGAAGGCATCTGGAGAGTGAACCAATGGGTGAGATCTCGTATCTTTCATTAAAGTAAATTTTTTAAAAAGAGAGAAAAAAATAGAATTAGGATTATATTTTAATATAAAAGTTGCTAAGTCAATTTTTAAAAAAGATGCTATGTACATATTAGTTGAGAAGCCCAAAGAGTGGCAAAAAATGAGGTAAATCACAAAATTTGCAATTCCTCATATTAAAATATATCATGAGCCATAACTTACACTAGGTGGTTATCATATTCAATTGTACACAGGAAGACTTTAGAAATTCCAAATTGTGTGTTGGAGGTGGGAATATTCATTTTATTAAAAATCTCTGAGCTACTCACTCTTTCAGTGCTCATTGACTCACATTTCCTTTCTACTTCCTGAAGACACACTGCATTGGTTTCCTTAGAATCAGGCATGTGTTTTTGGCTTAACTCACATGGATAAGCATTGCATTTGGGAAAGCAAAAACCAAAATGCAAAGCTGAATGTATCTTTTAGTATTGCTCTATTTTCCCAATTCTATACCACATACAATAATTAGCAAAGACATAAAGAAGATAGCCTTGTTTCTAGGGAGTCTGGGCATGTGATCCAGAACAAATCAATCAAGTCTTTCCAACAACTTGAATTGGCTCAGGAACAGGCATTCACTAGAAATGAATCAATAATAAGCTGACATAGCTCTGAGTGGAATAATCAGAAAGGAGCTGCTCACATTTCTTGGGACCCCTGATTGACAGAAAAGAGCCCTTAAGGTATTATAGCAAAACAGTTACCTTAGAATGAAGCTAGGGAGGAGTGCAGACAGGTGATAGAGAGAGTCATCATTCAACAAATACTGGGCACAAACTATGATTACTTAGACAATGGATACGGAACAATGGTCAAACCAGGCAGAAGTGTCTTCCCTGAAGGAGCTGACACTTAGTCCCTGCAGGGTGGGGTGACAGCAATACAATCAACACACACAAGACATCCATAAGGGCACAGCACAGAGAAGGAGAGGGGGGTTGCCAGGAGGAGAGGCCTTGCACTTTTAAACGTGGTGCTCAGGTGGTACTGAGGTAATGAGGGAGCTGAAACAGGTGGAGTATCAGGTGAGTATCTGCAGAGTCTTCTAGGCAGAGGCAACAGCAAAGCAGAAGCTGTGAAATGAAGTGGAATGGATAAGGTAGAAAATAGTAGAAAGTGAGAGTAGAAACAGGAGAATAAATACTTTGTTGCTTTTTTAAGGATGTAGCATTTATCTGGACTAGATGGACAGTGACCAGAAGATTCTGCATATAGGAATGACATCATCAGCATTACTTTGGTGGAAACTGAGCTACACAGTGAGAGATGGAAGTAGCTCGTGCTGGAGTGGCAGCATGAAGGCAGTAACAAGTGGTAGATTCTTGATATATTTAGAAGCCAGAGTCTGCCCACATTGTAGGGTATGAGAGAAAGGGAAGAGTTAGGGTGATGCTAAGATTTTTGTCCTGAAGAACCGAAATAATGGAGTTGAATTTACTGAAATGGGGAATATTGTAGAAGAGATAGGTTTACAATGGGGTGGAAAGAGAAATCAATAACTCAGTTTTAGAAAAATAGTTTTGATACCTTATTAGATGATTCTTGAAGGCATTGTTTGAGTGTCTGGATTTATTTATACTAAAAGCCAGAGGTAATACTTGACTTTCAAATTATTCAAAGCAGAATATTTGTCCTAGAAATTCTTTCTTGAAAACTCTGAACATAAAACTCTCAATATGTTTCCTTTTAGAAACCAACAAATTCCATCATGTTCAGCCATCTGCAAATTTCCCTCATCAGCTCCATTAGATGGAAGACACTGGTTCAGAGTAACTCTCTTCGGGTGGCAAGTGACAGAAGCTCATCTTTGATTACTTAAAGTGGCTAATTAGTGTTTAACGTAAAATGCTTTTAGAAAGCATAAGTATTTGGATATCAAAAATTAAGTGTTTAATGGAAGCTACAGTATTTATCTTGAGAATCCCTGTGTTATTTTACATTAATCAGAAATATCATCTAATATCTGTCTTGATACAAAGCCTTGCATACAGAATTTCATGATGAGGAGCACATGAGACTTCAGGCAAGATTATACAGAGCAGTGTGTGTTTCCAATGCGCAATGTGCCTGGCATCAGGGGGAAGCACATTTGATTAACAATAGCACTCAGGCAGGCCTCTGTCTTCAGATTTCTTTCACCCATTCAGCCATCCATTCAACATTTGCAAGTACTGGGTTTGTGCTGGGCACAAAGGTAGAATGAAGAAGACACAAAAGGATTTCTTCTCCATCCAATGGAGACTCCAGAGAAGACAGAGCAATCATGTAAAACAAATGCTGCCTTAGTAGTTAGTACTGCACGTTTGAGGCCTACAGCCAATTCCCTTCATAGTGCTAATCACAGGAGTCTTACCAAAATTCTGCCATAGGTTTTGAAGCTAAACCATATTCAGTAAGAGCTATCAGGAGCCACCCTAGAAATGGCTTTAAAGACTGTTGTACTTGTTTTTGGGTACATGTTTGAAAAATTGGTAACATAAGTTTAAAAGTTAACACATGTTCTTTATAAATGATTTTAGGATGATTAGGATTTGATAAATATCAAAATCATTTCCCACCCAGTGTAGGAAACTATTCTCTAATAACACCTATAAATCAACATACAAGCTCCAGCTGAACCGTGTCAATAGGAGCTCACTGTTCTAAGAGGTTGATTCAGCTGGAATTCCTATCAGGTGATAGCTCCATGAGCATAGGGGTTCTGGTTATCTTTGATTACCTTACTCAGTTCCCAGGCATGGAGCAAAATCACAATAATACTGGTGTTAAATGAGCCATGAATATTCTAATTATATGGCTTCGAGAGAGGATAACACTGTGGCTAAGATTATGTCTGGATTTGGACGACTGTCCTGTTACTATGTGACTGCAGTCAAGTTGAGAAATTGCCATGTGCCTAAGCTTCCCCACCTCTAAAGCGAGGACGCTAATAGCTTCCAGGTTGTGGCGTTGCTGTGAGAATTTAGGATCAATAGATGGAAAGTGCTTTGCACCACGACTGGAAATTGCTTGGTAAGTGTAAGCCATTTATACCATAATGATCATCTTCATTATGTACAAACTCCTACCTCTGACATCTCTTAAATTCTACCTCTAAATTAGAAGTTTTGCTTTTTTAAAAAAAAATTCATTGTACATTATCAAGATGTTCATATTAATTTATAATTGGTCTCTTCTCCCTTCCCAATTCCCTGATTCCACCATGATGCCACACTGACTTTTACAATCCTAATTTCTTAGTCAGTAAATTACATCAATTATTAAGTCAGAAGAAAGAGCCAGATAAACCTGTCTGTGTTTATGTTTGTAATCAGAATTTTTCATAGATGCTGTGTGTTGACTATGATACATATTTAAGTCATATTAATTCAGAAGTATTGCTGAGGACCTCAAACATATTTGGTGAAATATGTTGTAAGTACAGAATATTTTCAGTTTATGTATTTCCTAATCAATATGGTCCTTGGTCTAACAGTGACCCTGTGTTATAAATAATGATCAGGTCAAATTTTTCCTAATAATTAAATAAGGATAAGGTTAAATTGTCACATTCACTGGCTGCTTACAAATGGATGTGAGGAAAGGGATTAACATGTTTTGTTGCTAAACTTTTGTGCTGCTGTGCTCATTATCCTAGTTGTTAGTGCACATTATACTAGATGCTAGCCATTAATGCAAAGACAAACATTTCAACATCCCTGATCAAATTAGCACTGGTTAATTAGCATCTGAAGTACTAGTATTATGTATATTTATTTCAAAGTCTAACAATAGCCAATCACATCCAATTTTATATTGTTGGAGTTCTTAGAAATTTTAGCCAAAAAATGTAAAACGATGTTTGAAATGACACAAAGAAGCAAAAATGCATTAAAAAATTGGCAACCAACCATAATAACTGCCTCATTCCCACATAAAGCCAGCTATGTCAATATATACTGAATTAATCCATTTTGAAAATAAAAAAAAACCACTTCAGGTAAAAATATCATTGTGTGTGGGTGTAAATACAATGGGAAAGACCATAAAATGTTTGGGAACTAGAACATTCTTAATCACTACTAGCTAGGATGACAATGACAGCAGCAACTCAAACAGTCTCACAGTGAGAAAGCAGCAAGATAACACAATGACTACGTGAATACTGGTGAGAGTCATCTAATGAAATACTTGTGAGACACTACAAAATCATCCGCTGACTTTCTTGAAGACCATCTTAGCTGCAGATGAACTCATGGCTAAGCAGGACTCAGTTCTGAGGCCAACACTGACAATTCTGGCTGGATTTTCTAAAGTATCAGTACGTTCGCAGGGCCCAGCATCTTCTGCTGATAACCTCTGCATGTTTATTGCCATCTTTTGAATAATGCAAGAAGGGAAAGTAGAGAAAAATCACTCATGATTCTTAAGTATTAAAGTTGACTTATTCATGCTTATCAGAAATCCTCAAGCTTTGGGGAACTAGAAATACATGAAAGTAAACCCAATGGAGCTTATCACATTTTAAGAGAAACGTGGATAGATTCAACTTAACACTTCACACTAAAAATTTCCAAAAGGTGTACATTCATTTTCACATGGAGTTTCTGCATTAAGATTTGGGGATATCAGAAAGACAAGGCTATGTGTGGCTCTGAATTTACAAGAGTTTGGATTTAGGTTTGTATCATCCAGTGGGATTAATGACTTGAGTTGCCCATTTCAAATGATAAAGAAGGTTATTATTTTTAATACAAATTATTTTTGTTGACATTCAAAAAATGGGGAATGTACGTACGTGTTTTCTTGGTGGTTGCGTTAACGGTGGTGCTGAAGGGACCAGCACCTGCACTGTTGTAAGCTCGGACAGCTGTGTAATAGGCCAGGTTGCTTTTCAGGCCTCGGAGTCTGGCTGATGTCTCATTTCCTGCCACTTTCACTTTGCTTGACAAGTCCTCTTCCTCTCCGTTATTCCAGTACCGCACCTGGTAGACACAAGACACAAGACGTGCAAAGACTGAATGAAACATTGCCCTTTTCATTATGCGGCCTTCATTAAAACTGGGTGCTGTGCTTTCTTTTCTTGGTCATTCAACAGATATTTACTGAGAACCTACTATGTGCCAGATGCTGCGTTAGCCTCTGAGTTACAGCAGTGGAAACACGGGAAAGGGACTCCAGATGGAAACAGACACAAATTCCAAAAGAGTAAGTGCTGAGTTTGCCCAGGCTACAGGCTTGCAAGTGGGAGCCTGAAGGGGGACCTGGTATCTAACATAGTTCTCAACTCCTAACCAACTCAGCCTGAGCTCAACTCCAGAAAGCTGTCAGCCATTCATAGGCTCTACTGTGAAGGAAGTGAACTGTCAGAGAACAGATCATCAAGGTTGGGAAGAGTGGCTTGTCTGACACTGGTTAGCATGCCTGTGTCCTACATTAGAGTACCTGGCTTTGATTTCCCACTCCAGGTACTGACTGTAGCTTCCTGTTAATATGGATCTTGGGAGACAGCTGTGATGGTTCAAGTAATTAAGGTCCTGCCACCACCACCCACATGTGGGAGACCCAGGTTGAGTTCCTAACTCCAGACTTTTGCTTGGGTGCAGTCCTGGCCATTATAAACATGTGTCTCTCTGCCTCTCAAATAAATTAAAATTTAAAAAATAAATTAATTAAAGTGAAACAGAATAAAACCAAATAGAGTAAAAAGAAACTTCCAAAAAGCTAGCAGCTGGCCACTGGACCGTCCTACAATGATAGTCAAATGCTAACAAGTCCATTTGTGTTTGCAGAGCAGGAGTAGAGGAAAATAAGGCCATTAGAAGGGTTGACTTTAAGTATTAATATATATTAAATATTATATGTATTCATTATTCTGAACTATGCAATATGATCTTAGAATCATTTTAAAAGTATTTGTATAAAAATAAAAAATGTTACTGATGATATTTTAAAGAAGATTAACAGAGGAAAATATAAAAATACATGTTTCTTAGCCACCTCCAATTTATGCTATTAACACTCTACTGTGCTTTGCTAGAAAATCTTGGTTGTCCAAAAGCAAAACCAAAACCAAAATCAACAGCAACAAAATAAGCAAGCAAATAGCTCATGAAAAGCATATTCTTCGTATGGGAATAAGACCAGGTAATATCATTTGATCCTCTGAAGCAGGGGCAAAACAGTTAACAGAAATATGTAGAGCAGACGGAGTACCTATTAAAAGCATAGGCATATTTTTTACTTTTGTAAAGAAATAGGCTTTCTCCTGTCTTCCTTGCAATATGTGGCCTTCTTGTTCTGGCGTTTTTTTTTTTTCTTTACTCTTGATAGCAAAATATAAAAATAGGAAATCATTTTTAGGATGGATAGAAGTAAATGGTGGTTTGAGCACAAAGAAGATGGCAATGACCTTCAGTAGTCAGAGTCTTGGGATGTGGCAAGCTGGACAGTAAAGGACCTTGGGGACACAGGCCCCTGCTTGCTGGTGACTGTGAGGGTAGCAGACTTGGTGTTTACAGAGCTTATGTTTGCCTCTAAAGAAAGCAGAACTCTGTTTTTAATGTGAAATTTCCCATAAGGGTTTGCTCAGTGTTTTAAAAGACACTGTGGCGTTCAAACAAAACATGTTGATGGGCTGCATAGTGTAACTGCTTTTAGTACCCTAAGCAAATGACAGAGGATGTAATTTTTTGTTTGTTTTTAATGAGCAGCTGTAAAACCCTTTCAACACTATTCACAGTGGCAAGATAAGAAATCCACCCAAGTGCCCATCAACAGATAAATGGATAAATCAAATTTGGTATATAGACACAATGGATGACTATTCAATCCTGGAACAGGATAAAATGCTGTCATTTGTAACAACATGGATGGGCCTGAGGGATATTATATGTAGTGAAATAATCCAGCACAGACAGACATCATCTCAACTCAGCTGTGGACTCCAAAAAGGCTGATGGCACTGAAGCAAAGAGCAGACAGTGGTTACTGGAGGCTGGGGAGGGGATGGAGCAGAAGGGAACAAGTGGAGATTGGTCAATGGGTACAAAATTACAGTTCGATAAAAGGAATAAATTCTGGTGTTCCGTTGCACAATAGGGTGACTCTAGTTAGCCATATTGCATTTGTACATTTCAAGAATTGGCTGGCACCGTGGCTCACTAGGCTAATCCTCTGCCTGCAGTGCCGGTACCCCAGGTTCTAGTCCCGGTTGGGGCGCCGGATTCTGTCCCGGTTGCTCCTCTTCCAGTCCAGCTCTCTGCTGTGGCCTGGGAAGGCAGTGGAGGATGGCCCAGGTGCTTGGGCCCTGCCCTCGCATGGGAGACCAGGAGGAAGCACCTGGATCCTGGCTTCAGATTGGCCGGTCGCAACGCGCTGGCTGTAGTGGCCACTTGGGGGGGTGAACCAACAGAAAAAAGGAAGACCTTTCTCTTTCTCTCTAACTCTGCCTGTCAAAAAAAAAAAAAAAAAAAAAGGAAGGCCTGATTAATGCCTGAAAAAAAAAAAAGAATAGATAAAAGAGAGGATTTCTAATGTTCTTACTACACAGAAATGATAAAAAGTCTCAGGTGATGATTATGTGAAATACCTTGATTTGATCATTATACACAATGTGTTCATGCATCCAAATATCATACTGTATACTGCAAATATGTGCAATTATTGTTTCAGCTAAAAACTTTAAAAAAGGAGCATAATAGAAATCATAGGTTTTTCAAAAATAATTACAGATTAGCGAACTAATATTGTACTAGATCAGTATTTCCCACATATATGCATATCTGGAATTACAGGCCCCCTTGAATCGATATAAATTATTGTTTACATATATGTATTTCAGTGCATCTCTTCTGGAAATGAATTGCTAGTCTTTAGATGAATCTCAATGGAGGATGTGACTCCAAATGATTAGGAATGAAGTGAATACGTGGTGTCTTTCAAAAGGCACAGTCAAGCAAATTGTTCATGGATACTAAAAGCTTGTAGACATGCTAAATTCACCTTTATTAAATGTTGTAGGTATTGGTAGGTTTAGTTGCCTTTTAAAAATGATAAGCCACTTTCACTGTACTTGAAACCACTGTCTAGTTATTAACTAAGCATGACACATAATCAATAATTCTAATAAAATGTTATAAATAGCCTGAAAATCTGTGGTCTGGGATATAGCATAAATTGGGTAAAAAAAAATCACATCTATATGAGCTTTAATAATAATCACCTATGGCAAACATTTGGCTTTATGGTTAAGATGCTAGTTAAGATACCTATATCACATACCAGAGTTCCTGGGTTCAACTCCTGGAGCTTGACTCCAGCTTCCTACTAAGCAAGACCCTAGGAGACAGTGAATAAAGGCTCACGTAACTGGGTCCCTGTGATCCATGGGGGAGGTCTTGACTTGAGTTCCCAGCTTTTGCTTCTGCTCTGGCCCAGTCCTGGTTACTAAAGGCATTTGGGAAGCTCTGTCTGAGTTCCTCAAATTAAAAACAAAAAAATAACAATACTCCCCCAACTGAGGCAACAACAGAGGTATGGTGGTGGTGGTGGGAGTGTTTCATAACTCAACCAGGGCCACCATCCTCTCTAAACTTGGATCTCTTGTTAGATTCCTATCCATGGGCTTTTTTTTTTTTTTTTTCATCCTGATATATCAAATTACCTCAAGATAAATTTCTTAAGAAAGTGTTCCTTAGGAGGCTGACTTAGAGAAGAAGTAAAAATAATGTATAATTGGCATATGGGATGGCTTTTATAAATCCATCTGTAGAAAGTACTTGAAGGTGCTTTATAGCAGTGAGTTGTAAGTACTCAGGCAATCTCCATGTATCGGAATGACAGATTTATTTTTGGATCTTAGTTTCTAAGATATGTCAGGCATATTTAGACAAAGGGAATATTTGTGCCTACCTTGAACATGATGCTAGCTAGTCAAAATTGATTATATAATCTTCTTAAGTTGTGCTACCTAACAAATTGAATAAATACACAGATAACTTAAAACATAAACAAGGCACTGTCATGGATAGTGTCACCAGCTTTCTCTCAGTATTCAGTTATGTTCTATACAATTTTGTTTAGAAATGTCTACAGAGGGCCAGAGCATTTGTAAATATGTAGGAAAGGGAATAAGAAAGACTTTCTTAGTTGTATTCTGGATTTAGAAAATAATGAAAGTTCTGCAACTAAGACAATGGAATATCTCCATGTCAATCTGAGTTTTATAAGGCATGGAAAGGGAGAAGACAAGGTGTCAAGGCTGAGGGAGCAAACTTTGGGAATATCACGGTTTAGAGAAGAACCGATCAACATAAAGTCGATAGGATGTGCAACAGCACCACAAATGATGAGCAGGAGCAACTATTTCAAAGCATCCTTTGACAGCTGACATTGCAGCTGAGCCCCTACCCCAGTGCCTTTGATGCAGACTTCATCAGGCTATCCCTTGGCTTGCAGTCCCTCTGTAAAGATTATCTCATTAAATTAAGGGAGCCACACAAGAGCAGTAAGATTGGGGCCAAGACCCAGCATCACAGACTGAGGTCACCTCTACAGTTAACATCTCTCAATGCTGGCCTCTATTTGACAGCTTCCCAGGAACTAGCAGGCCCTGATGAAACAAAATAAAAGCCAATCTAGACCCCAGACAGAACAGAGCTCCCCCTCTACCTTTCCAAATGAAACACGCTGGCCCCGATCCCTGACAAATCAAAGGAAGGCCATGTGTACTGTGGACCAACCAGGGGCTCACTCTCAAGCTGGCCGTGGCCCTGCTCCTCCCCCACTTTCATCTGTAAGATTCCCTGCCTTTGAGCCCTCGGGAAGTCAGGGAATTGAGCAATAGTTTCCTGACTCCTTGCTCTGTGTACTGGAAATAAACTCCTACTATCTTCCACCACACAAGTGTCACTAACTGGCTTGCTGCATGTGGGGTGAGCTGATCCTGTTTGGGGAAATTCTTCAACTGGTTCAACCTGTGAGG